TTTTTTGAAAAGAAATGCAAGTGCACCAGGTGTTGGTGGTGCACGCCTTTTATCCCAGCACTCGGGAGGCAGAGGCAGGCTGATCTCTGTGAGTTCGAGGCCAGCCTGGTCTCCAGAGCAAGTGCCAGGACAGCCTCCAAAGCTACACAGAGAAACCCTGTCTCCTAAAACCAAAAAGAAAAAAGAAAAAAGAAAAAAGAAAAAGAAAAGAAATCCAAGTATCTGGGATGATGAAATATTTTGGGGTTTTGACAAGCATATCTGTTGTCCAAATGCATTGAATTCTGCACTTAAGATTTGTGTGTTTTATACTGCGGAAATTAAACTTCAGTTTAAAAGTAGCGTAGGCAAAGAAGGTAGCGAACTGGCTCCTGTAACCGAGAAATCCAGAGCGATGGCTTCAGGTCTGGCTTGATCAAGGGTTCAAATGCTGTCACAAAAGTTTTCTTCTGGTTGCCCGACTGTGAGGGTGCATGCCTTTAATCCCAGAGACAGGCGGATCTCTGTGGATTCAAGGCCAGCCTGGTCTACAGAGTGAGCTCCAGGACAGCCAGGGCTACACAGAGAAACCCTTGTCTTGGGGAAAAAAAAGTTTTCTAGTCTGTTCCCTCTATAAGGTTCCATTTCTAGGGAAACATTCTCCTACTGCAGCTTAACCTCCCCCCCCTCTGAGATACGGTCTCGGTATGTAACATAGCATTGTGACTCCTGCCTCTGAAGTCACTGGGACTGTAGGTGTGCACTGCCACACCCAGCAACCGCCTCTTGTTGATAAGCTCTGATTGACGGACATTCCCTACTCCTGTACTTTTCCCTGATCCTGCCTTAGTTCCAGGGACTTGATTTTTGAGTTATCCAGGCATGAGTCACATGTTCTCCCTCTTGGGAAGGGGAGGGAGAACAGGGATGTATCTCCCTAGCCATCCCTGGCTCTGAGGTGAAGAGTGTCCCACCCGAACAGGGTGAGGGGAAGCCGGGCAGCCTTCAGCCACAAGTGAGCTGCCTGAGCACTCAGATGCGGCTCTGCAGCTGTAGCCGTCTTCCAGCTCAGGGACACGAAGGATCAGCTGAAGCTCCATTCCGGCATCCATGCATCGGTGTAGGGGTCTGAAACCTAGGAAGTGGTCCTAAAGCTAGCAATGAGATTGAACATCCTGTCAGAACCTGCTTTTCCTCTCTCTCTCTCTCTGTGCGTGTGTGTGTGTGTGTGTGTGTGTGTGTGTGTGTGTGTGTGTGTGTGTGTGTGCATGCGTGCGTGCGTGCGTGCGCGCATGTGTGTGCTGGAACCAAACTTGGTCTTTTTTCAAGAGCAGCAAACCCTCTTAACCACGGAGCATTTTCTCCAGTTCCTCCCTTCATGTTTTAAGAGTAACATAATGGTGGTGTACAAAATCCCAGCACTTGGGAGGCAGAGGCAGGTAAATCGGCCAGCCTGGTCTATAAAGCAAGTTCCAGGAACAGCTAGAGCTGTTACACAGAGAAACCCTGTCTCAAAACAACAAACAAAAAAAGCGTAACTGAAATGTCCAAACTAAGTAGAGCACTCGCTTCTCTGCAAGTCTGTTTGTGGGTTATTTTATCTTTTAAAGAAAGTCCTGTTGTGTAGCTCAGGCTGACTTTGAACACGTCTCAAGCGCTGGGATCAGAGGCTTGCACTCATTGTATGTAGGACTCTGTCAGTAGCGACTCTCAAAGCCTAACAGACAGGTTAACTCAGTTGTGCCTGAGTTCTGGGCCACTGTCTGGTGTGGCAGGGCTCTTCTGGAAGAGGCACTGAGCTGGTCGGAAGCTGTTTGCTCAGGATTAGAGGCACACTGTCAGACGGGGCTGCAGGGATGGAGATGCATCTCAGTGGAGCTAAAACACTTGCTCACCTGGCATGAGCAAATCCTCAGGACAAAGAAGCAGAAAACTTGCTAACATGATTAAAATTTAGGGCTGGGTGTCCCTCAGTGGCAGATTACTTGTCTGGTATACGTGAGGCCCTGGGTTCAAGTCCCATCACCACCAACACACACACACACACACACATACACTCACACACACGCGCGCGTGCACACGCACGCACGAGATAAGAAGGCCTCACCAACACCCAGCAGGGATTCCTGGGTGGCTCAACCCCTTGTGATACCAGGGCTTCTCCCTGGGGGTCTTTTTAAAAAAATATATTTTTATTAATTTTTTCAAATTAGTCACAAGCTTGCTTCACATGTCAATCCCAGCTCCCTCTCCCTCCCCTGTTTCTGGGGGTCTTACCTACATTTGCCTCTCTGGGAACTTTGCAAGCAGCTGGGTGGGTGTTTTTTGTCCATTCCGGCAGCGCACAGCCTTCCTACCTGGCAGTAAGGAGTAATGTCGTTCTGGGTGCAGTGACTCAGTGCAGTTTAATCCTCTGCATTCCTGTGCCTTATCGAGAAACTGGACCCTAAGTCTGTGGGCTGAGTGGGGCAGGGATTTCAGAAGGTAGGTAAGGTATAGGCACAGGAAAAAGTTATTATTCACAATCTGGAATGGATGCTTAGGTGAGCTTCAAGAAGGACTGCGTTATTTAAAAGGTGTCTGTAAAATCACACTGGTGAGCCGTAGCGTTCTGAGACAATGCTGACCACCCCTCCATAGTGACTTTCAGCCCTTTACTGTTAAGTCAACTTAACAGTAAAACCATGTTTAATGGCTGGAGAAATGGCTTAACAGTTAGGAGCACTTGCTGCTCTGACAGCAGACCCAGGTCCAGGCACTCTCCGGGCAGCCCCGCCCACAGGATCTGACACCCTCTTCTGTCCTTCACAGGCTTTGCACACTTGCTCATATATACAAATGCTGCAGGCAAACGCTCGCACACATGAAATAAAAACAAGTAAAATCCGGAAAAAAAAAAACTCATAGTTTCTTGGGGAAAAGAAAGACATGCCTGTGCTCCTTGAAACGGGCTCACGTAGCCAAGGCTGGCCCGGAAGTTCTGATCATCCCGTTTTCCCCTTCAGAGTGCTGGGATTGCAGTCATGCACAGGACTTCAGGCATGCTAGAAAAACATTACACCAAGATCTATCCTAGACCTCCCTTTAAGATTTAAAAATTGGCCTGGCGTTG